TTCGATAAAAGACTTGCCAGGCACAATTAGGGTTCTCTTTGCTTACCTAGTTCGTAGAACTTTAACAAGTTGGCAATGCTTCCACTTCCCACTTAATCTCGCCTTCTTGTGAAGCAGAAGTTCTTGGGGGGCCATTGGGAGCTTTCTTTCCGGGGGGAAGGGGGGTTCTGGGGAGGAAAGGTGTCCCTGGGGGAATCCTGGGGGCAGGTCCTTGGGGGCTTCCCCTCAGGGGGAGGTCCCAAGCGGGTTCTGGTGGGGGCCCGTGGGGGCCCTCAGAGGAGGGTCCTGGAGGGGATTCCATGGACGGAGGTTATTTTGAGAGTTCTCTGACCATTCTGGAGAGAGGATCCTTTGGGTCATGGTGGGGGGGGGCCGGGGTGGAATGTCTCCCGGGGATCCTTAGGGCCATCCTGGGCGCGGCAGACAAACCTGAAGGCGCTCCTGGGTGAAGAGCGGGCTCCGCGAGCCGAGCCAGGTCAGCGCAGTGGGTTGCGCGTCAGCCCTATGGTCTGCAGAAGGTGGGTTCGGTCCTCACACGCGGCAGCTCGCCCTTTTGCTGCCCACACTCACGTCTTTAGTCGGGAAGGGGCAGCCGTGGCGTGTTTGTGGGTGACATTCTTTTCCCGTGCAAGCTCCGCGAGGGGGACAGGAGGCCCGCAGACCTCAGGGGAGCCGAGGCCAGAGCCCCCGGGGGTCGCCGGCCCTTTAGGAGAGGGCGCGGCGGATCACCCACCCCCGCAGGCGGGGCTCCCCGGGGCGGGGCCTCTGCAGGTCCTCCCTGGGGGCGGGCCCGAGACTAGTGGGGGCGTGGCTAGGTTTCCGACTGGGCGGGGCTGGGCGCTGATCGGCGGGACTAGGCCTGCGGGACTAGGCCTGCGGGCCCGGCTGGGCTCTCCCGCGGGGCGGGGCCGGCTGATAGCGGCGCAGGTGCAGGCGCGGCGGCGGCGGCGGTTACGCGGCGGGCATGGCGGTGTGCGCTCGTCTCTGTGGGGTGGGCCCTTCGCGGGGGTGTCGGCGTCGCCAGCAGCGCCGGGACCCGGCCGAGACGGCGGCGGCCGACAGCGAGCCGGACACGGACCTGGAAGAGGAGCGCATCGAGGCGGGCGCGGCGGAGCTGTGCAGTGAGTGGAGCGGCCGGAGCTCGAGCCCCTCGCCACCCCCGCGCTGCTCGCTGCTGGAGCTGCCTCCCGAGCTGCTGGTGGAGATCTTCGCCTCGCTGCCCGGCACTGACCTGCCCAGCCTGGCCCAGGTCTGCACCAAGTTCTGTCGCATCCTGCACAACGACACCATCTGGAGACGGCGCTGCCGGGAGGGTGAGTGCAGGGTAGCGGGGGTCCGGGCCTGGAGGGGCCTCGTGGCGGAGGTCTGGGCGTGGGGGAAGGTTCAGGGATTGGGAGGGTGCTCGGAGGTCCGGTGGCAGGTGTACGGCCCTGGAAGGGGTCTGAGGTCCCCAAGGGCCCTGGACAGAGACCTGCCATAGTCGGGGGCCTCATGAGCAGGGTGGACTCGGGGGTCTCGGCTCGCCATGGGCCCTAGATGGAG